GAAATCCAGCAGATGATCCAGAAGAGACGAGTGAAGATTCAGGAGATCAAACACTCGGTGGAGCTCAGTGAGGAAGATGCAGACAGAGAGATAGCAGATGGTGTTCAGGTCTTCACCGCTCTGAAGGAGTCTGTTGAGAGAAGCCAGGCCGAGCTCATCGACACGATCAAAGAGAAGCAGAGCAAGACAGAGAAACAGGCTGAAGGCTTCATCAAAGAGCTGGAACAGGAAATCAAAGAGCTGAAGAGGAGAAGCACTGAGGTGGAGCAGCTCTCACACACTGAAGACCACCTACACCTCCTCCAGAGCTTCACGACCCTGAACACTGCTCCACCCACCAAGGACTGGACAGGAGTCAGAGTCAGTCCACCTTCACATGAGGGGACTGTGAGGAGAGCTGTGAACCAGCTGGAGGAGATGCTCAGTAAACAGATGAAGAAGCTGTTTGAGGTCAAGCTGAAGAGGGTCCAGCAGTCTGCAGTGGATGTGACACTTGATCCTGATACAGCATATCCTACTCTCATCCTGTCTGATGATGGAAAACAAGTTAAACTTGGTGACATAAAGAAGAATCTCCCAAACAATCCAGAGAGATTTGATACTCATGCTCGTGTCTTAGCAAAGCAGAGTTTCTCTTCAGGAAGATTTTACTTTGAGGTTCAGGTTAAAGGGAAGACTAAGTGGTCTTTAGGAGTGGTCAGGGAGTCCATCAACAGGAAGGGAATCATCACACCGACTCCTCAGGATGGTTACTGGATGATAAGGTTGATTAATGAGAATCAGTACTCTGCTCTTGCTGGCCCTTCAGTCCGTCTCTCTCTGAAGTCTCAGCCTCAGAAGGTGGGGGTGTTTGTGGATTATGAGGAGGGTCTGGTCTCCTTCTATGACGTTGATGCTGCAGCTCTTATCTACTCCTTTACTGGCTGCAGCTTCACTGAGAAACTCTACCCACTCTTTAGTCCATGTCTTAATGATGGTGGTGAAAACTCTGCTCCTCTGATCATCTCTCCTGTCAATCACACTGAGTAGAACAAACATTTGATCTTCTACAGAGAGACTCTTTCATTTAATGTAACAAATCTATA